GCTGGTGGTTTGAAGCACCAACCTTTCAGTTAGCAGCTCAGCATGTACCACTGTGCCACCAGGACTCCTTCGGACAACAGTGACTCTTAACTGCTGGTCTATGGACCAGTTGATGAGAAAATGAGGAAAACAAGGAGAGCGATGTTTTTCATAGGCTAAGTATTAAGTATAATACTTTCTTCTGAGATCACGCCCTTTCTTTCTGTTATTATAATACATTTCTTTTATAAAATGATTGTGATTTTAAAAAGGAATCAACTTCAGTTGCCTCCAGTTTCCCTTCCAGACCACCTCTATGACACTGAAGATGCTGCCCAGGGTCTGTACTTTCTCCGAATCGCGCTGCTTTTAACAATCACCACCTATAATTCTATTTCCTGAATGTCTCTCAAACTGATCAGTTCATCTCTATCCATACTGTCACTCCCTTATTTCAGGCCCTCATCATTCCTCACCTGGACTGTTGCCAACACCCTCCAGTGGAGCCTCTTTCAAAATGATCTGCTGAAATGCAAATCTGATCCAGTTGTAAATACATACTGGGTTTTCCATCACTTAAAACAGAACCCAAATTCCTTAGTTTAGCCTAAGAAATTCTTCCTTACTAATGGGCAGACGAATTTAACTTACCAATTATCTCTTCCCAATCCCCACCCTATTATCCAGACCTGCCAAATGTCTTACCATTTTCTTAAACTAGTCTCAAGTCTATAAGCTTCTTCAAGGTAGAGTCCTTTTCAACTTCGCTTGCATTTCCCACAGACCTGACACATTACAGACACTCAAATACTGTATATGCAGAAGGGAAAGAATAACAATAGTTAACTTAATAATAATAATTAGCATATACTGAGTGACAAGCACCATTCTCTACAACTTACAAATAATAATTTAATCCTCACAACAGCCCTGTAAGCAAGGTGCTGTTACTCTCTATTTTATAAATGAGGAAACTGAGACACACAGAGTAAAAACTGCTCAAGTTTACACAACTAATAAAGAGGCAAGCTGGGATATGAATCCACAAAATCTTACTCGAGAGCCTGGACTCTTAATCACCTCACTATCTGTTAGTGATTGAATTGTGTCCCCCAAAAATGTGTGTCAACTTGGCTAGGCCATGATTCCCAGTATTGTGTGATTGTCCACCATTTTGTCATCCGATGTGATTCTCCTACTTGTTGTAAATCCTATCTCTATGATGTTAATTAGGTGGGATTAGCACCAATTATGTTAATGAGGCAGGACTCAATTTACAAGATTAGGTGGTGTCTTAAATCCATCTCTTTTGAGATATAAAAGAGAGAACCAAGAAAACCGACACCAGAAACACAGCACATCCTTTGGACCCTGGGTTCCTCTACAGAGAAGCTCCAAGACTGGGGACAGAGCCGACAAAGAGAGAAAGCCTTCCCCTGGAGCTGCTGCCCTGAATATGGACTTCTAGACTATTAGACTGTGAGAGAATAAATTTCTCTTTGTGAAAGACATCTACCTGTGGTATTTCTGTTATAGTAGCAGTAGACAATTAAGACACTATCCTACCTCTCACAGAAGTAGAGAAGGGAAAAGGGAAGAGAAGGGAAAATCTCTACTTATTTAAGACACATATGCATTGAGCAACTTTAGTTTTCTTTAACCTCTCCACATTCAGTTTGTTCATCCTTTCTTCAGCCTCAATCCAGAAAAGCAGAATTGCTTTGGCAGCATTCATTCGTTCAATTAGCAAATGTTCAGTGAGCAAATATGAAGGTAATAGCTAATTCTGGCCCTGGCCTTCTAAAAGCTTAAAAACTAGTTGGGAAGACCATATACAGCCTCATTAGTAATCAAAGAAATGCAAATTAAAATGAGATTTACCCCAGAATGACTCATAAATATTAAAAGACAATGATGATATTCAATGTGGGTGAGAGTTCTGGGAAATAATATTGGTGGAAGGTTAAATTGGTAGGGCCTATTTGGTTGGCAATTTGCAAGCATCTATTAAAATTTAAAGCATGCATATCCTTTAACTTAGCAATTCCACTTCTAGGTCTCTTTCTTACACATCTGCCAAGTATATTTAAGGCAGCCAAGTATGAAAAATCTAAATGTCTATCAATAGCTAAATAAACTTGATACATCCTTATGGAAAACTATGTAGCAATCAAAAACATTAGGGTTCATCTACTGTACAAGAACTCCAAGATATACTATTAAGTGAAAAGAGCGAGCTACAAAATATATACAATATGAACTCACATATGTAAACACACACACAATGTACTCTTAAGACCTGTGCATTTTATGTACATTTTGCATCAAAGAAAAAAAGCTGTATACAAATACTAAACTCTAGTTAATGATATGCATGCTGAAGTACTCAGGGGAAAGTGTACTAATGTCTGCAATATACTTGGAAATAAACTAAGAAATTGGTTTGAATTAATGGAGGAATGGATAGATATATGATAAAGCAAGTACTGTAAAAATGTTAACTTCAAAAGCTAGGTGGTAGGTATATGGGTGTTCGCTATAAAATTCTATCAATTTGAAAATTTTCTTAATAAATCTTGGGAGGAAAAGCTAACACTGTATAAACCAGTTCAGGAGTGACACAAATAAGTACTATAAATTCAGAAAAGGGTAGAGACATGTGTACATTAGGGAAGGCTGCAGGGAGAAGTATTCAGTTACATCTTGAACAAAAGGGATGAATTAGGACACACGGGTTATACATCATGAAATTCAAATATTACAATAACTTAAGACTTATAGACAATAAACAGCTATTTACAATCTTTACCAATTCATTCATTCCATAAATAATCCCTGAGCTCCTACCATGTGCTGGACACTATGGTTAGTGTTGGGGCAACAGCACTAAACAGACAAGACAGGATTTCCTGCCCGCAACAACCAGGTCTTCCATACATGACAGCTATCAGTAGATGTGCTCCTCACAAAAATCCTGTCAGATGGGCAGATTCCCCCTATTTTATGACAGAAACTGATACTTCAAAGAAATTAAGTGACTTGTTCAAGGTCACACAGCTGGCCAAAGGTGCAAGAGGCTAGGCTCTTTCTCCTTAACAACACAATCAATCTGGTGTAGGAAGAGTGGACAGACCACAATATCCCACTTGTCGGGGTACAGTGTAATTCCAGACTATGAAGTATTCAAATGCCAAATGATGGAGCCACAGAGTCAAACACAAAGCTACTTTCAAGTCCTGCTTCAGCTGACATCATTTTCACCTGCCACTATGATCTCCAACTGCTTCAGATTTGGAGTTTACACTACACCAAAATAATAAAAAGCAAAAATAAAAAAAAAAAAGTTGAGGGACAGAAACTAATGGGAGAAGACTAACATGAATAACGGCAGCAGAACACTAAAAAGTCATCTAACCATGTTATAATACAAAGCAGGAAATAGCTCTAAACCATCGAGAAAAGTAATAATAATGCAAAGAGATCATAATTCCCAAATAAAGCAAGCAAAGCAGAGTGATTCCGATGCTGAAGGGGAGTCTTCTGCAGAAGGCTGGAACAACTAGGGGGTGAATCTGACACATTTCACACAAATGCTAGAAGGACAGAGGTAAAAGCTTTCAGAACAAGAAAAATAAAGACCCACTAGTTCTTCAACCTAAAATGCCTTTAATCAACGATAAAGACTTGGCCTCTGTGAAGTCCAGACATTTCTCCATGATTAGTAAAATCCAAACGGAAAACCCAACTTTAAAGAATCCTTATTTTTTCACTTAGATTAAATTTTCATAAATAATTGGTATAAATGGAGACAATGAAATTATTTTAGGCAAGATATGCTCAAAGTAATAGTGTATATGGAACAAACATTCTGGAGGCTTTTTAAGACAACTAAAGTTCGCAACACTTCATTCTTTTTAAAATGAACTTTATGACTGACCCTTTAGCGACTCTAGCTTTATACTGAATCACACAATTTTTAAAGTTTCTTTATTTATGTAATTTTAAAAAATATCCTCTGAAGTTATCCTATCTTACTGGTGGCCAGCATCACATAAAATGTGTCCTGGTTATTCACTTAAGTGACTATTTCTGAAAAATGGAAAGTTTCTCTTCAGTAGCAAAGAAACTGTTATCAAAGCATTAAATGAATGTAAATACTTCAACCAAGTACAACTGCCCACAATAATAGTCTACTTCAAAACCTGTCCAAAAATCCACCTCTGGATTTGAAACTGCTAAGAAATAGACTCTATTTCAGAAAAAATAAAAGAGGCACTTTATTTAGACTTCTGATATCACTTAGAATTAGGGCTCAGCAAAATTAACAACCCATTCTTCTCAAAATACACCACAAGATCAAATACCCAAGACTCCTCTGAACTCAATCTTACATTCAGCTAATGTAGTAGTCCTCAACTAGGGAAGATTTTATTCCCCCCCCCCGCCCCCCACTGGCAGACATTTGGCAATGTTGGCAGACATTTTTGGATGTTACAACTAGGGGAGAGGTGTTACTGGCGTATCAAGGATAGAGGACATGAATGTTGCCAAACACCCTACATTGCA